GTCAAATCCTTATGCTACTATCAAAAGAAAAATTCCCATTCAATCAATGTGAGCAGAACCTGCTATGTATCTATAATTCATAGCTATACAGGTAGCCTTGGAAATACATAAAGACTTAGCAGAAAACCAGCCTTGTATCTGGAATGATCCTGAACTTCTAGAAAGTAGTTCACTGGATTATAGAATCATAGAATCATACTCAACACACTTCGCTTTTTCGGTACGAGTCAGTATGAGAGAAACAATTGAGCCTTGAAATGTGATCTTCATATGTCTGATCTTGTTTCTCCAGCCTACAAAAATGAGAGCTGGCAGGTAACTTGAGAGGTCTTCTAGTCCAGCACATTCACCTAAGGCAGCATCACGTTCAGCATGCATTCAGGAAGCAGATCAAGTTACCATGAGGTAATGAGCCAGTTGTTTGAGATAAACGACCATATCAGCACATTAAAATAGAACACATTGCCCAAAACCTTGCTAAAAAAAGGTGTAAGCAACTGCTTATTAATACTTAACACTAGACTGTAAATCCTCCATCAGAGAAATCAAACCATTTCATAAGACTGGTAAAACTATTGCACAATCCCCCTTAGTACCTGTTTCAGTAATCCTTATCAACACAAGAATGATGTAGCACCTGCCTTAGATTTCTCTTTGCACAGCCAAAACTTACATATTGTTTTGGTTTGGGTTGTTTGTTTGTTTTAAGGGCATGCATGAAGACCAACTGGCTGTTTGTTAGGCTCTTACTCCCACAGTACTCAGACTGTTTCTCACAGCTCATCGTTTCTAAGCCTCTTAATATTCCTGATGCCATGCTGTGGATTATAAACTGTGTGACAAAACAAGCAGGACACATTATTTCAGCTGATACCTGAACAGTATGTCAGGCATAGGAGTATATGTAACCCTTTGACATATATATAACACTTCACACTTAAGAGCTTTCTTCTGTTTAATCTAACAGCCATAACACTGCTGATGCTCTGATCCCTAAGGATCTTTCTTTTGCAGTCATTGCCTCTTATTTTATGCTCAAAATGTTGGTTTTCTTTCCCCTCTGCATTGTACCTTGTTTACTGAATTTCTTTGTATCAATTTCTGGCCATTATGTCCCTTTTTCAAGAACATTTTGAATCATAAGCCTATTCTTCAAAGTGTTTTAGCATCAGGTAATGTCATCTTACTTACCTTTACCTACTTATGAAACAGTGGGACAATATCAGAAGTCCCACTGACATGAAACCACATATACCTCATTTACTGGCCCCCCATTCTCTGCAGAGAGTTACCCTCTAAATAATGGCTTAGAGGATAGAAAAAGTGTGAACATACAAAGATGAAAATGTGGAAACTTGTATTTTAATTTTTAATGCTATCTCTGATATTTTAAATCCTATTTTGCAAGGCCTATTCTTTCTATTCTTTGAGGCAAACCTCTGTAGTTTATCCTTAGATCTCTTTCATTCTGAAGGAGGATAAGGTGTCAGAGTTTACTGGCTTGGAAAATCTGTGTGTAGGTGCTGTAGAAGAGTTGATTCAAGGCAGATTTGCAAGGGAAATTCTAAGATCACAGTGATAAGAGGCAATGGCACCAAGAGTTCACCATTAACATTACTGCATTCTGGTGAGGAGGACAAAAATAAAGAACCAAATTCTGCTTTTATTTGTACTCATCAACTGGCTGTCACGGAACTGCTTGTTTCCAACAGAAACCCAAAGCAGCTGTGAATCTCCATGAGTGCTCCTCTAGAACTGCAAAATGCTGATAACAGGAATATAAAAGCAGGAACATGAACTAAGCCCTACAACTGCAGTTGGTTGCAGCTTTTCAGCTGTGTCACTCCAGATCCTAGGGAATAGCACAGTGCCCAAGTATCAGATGCTTCTGCTCTAGAGTTGCACATCACCTGAGCATGCAACTGTCCTGAAATCAGTACCTGCTCACCCGCCTCATGGGCAAAAAGGCAGCAGAATTACCACAGGAGCAATACCCAGGGTTGCATCTGAACTGTCTCATCGTCACATCTCCACCTGTTCTCAGTGCATTTTTGAGCAGAAAAAAAGAAAACTGAATCCCCATTAACATGCAGAACAAATGGGAATAGATTTGTATAGTGAAATAGCTAGTCATAAGGGTCCAGCATCCATCCTAGAAGGATTTCAGAAGGTTTTACAGTTAACTGCTTCCAGTATGATACCATGGACTAAATGCATTGGGTGTACTTTTGTGTTCTTAGTACATCTATTTTAGGTTCATTCAAACACACTATTTTTTTGTGCTCTGGGGCCACTCTGTGATGTAAACTAGAGCTTGGTAATTGGGGAAAACTTGCTTCAAAAGCCTGACATATCATGGACTAAAGGGTGCTGAAGTCTTTGCATTCGTTAGGTCTGCCATTTCCTTTGCAAAGAACTGCTGGGTTTGTTGCCAAGGCCCTCCTCCAGCTGCAAACAGGAGATAGACAGTGCCTGAGACATACAATTGCAGCATTCATGGCAGAGAAATGAGTTCAGCTATGTGAAAATTTGAAAGTGGAACAGTGTTTTTTTAATTTATTAAATTTACCTTTATGAAAGGAGATGATTACACAAATTATTTTTTTAAGCTATGTCATGATTAGCTCCCGGATCAGCTCAGCAGATAAACTGTATTAAGTATGGAGCATATTAAGCCACTGATAATGTTGCAATGTAATGCACAATGGAGAGGTGGATGCCCCTACCTATTTTCCAAGGGATGCTTCAGGTCTGTTTTAGCTCAATACTCAACATGTGCCTAATAAAGCCTTTCAGAGATTATCTAGCTCTTCACAAAGTGAGCCTATGTGCCCCTCCACAGTACTCTAGAGTTGGGTCCATCAGGAAACACACAATAGATATAGCCAGGTGATTGTAAAGAGGTAACCCATGTCTGCTACGCACAGTAACTTGAGTTTAGCACCAGTCCTGTTGAGGAGGCAGCAAAGGCAGCAGCAATCACCTCAGAGGAGCTGGGAAGCTGGAAAAGCAGGATGAGGTGAGGCCCTAGGCTGATAAGGAGAATGGAGGAGATGGCAGCCAGAGGGCAATGAGGTTGAAGAGCATGTCTCAGGCCTGGGAGGTGGTAAGAACAAAGCTGTGGTTGTGGTAGCAGCCCTAGGCATGGGAGGGTGAGGTGAGGAGGTGGGAAAGAAGATTGTGGCAGTAAGTAGTGTCTCCTTGCCTCTCCTTGCTACACTCCTTTTCCATCTTGGTGGACTTTGACCCATCGTGAGGAGCACTTCAGGAATGGGCATTGCTGCAGTGTCCCCCTGTAGCCTGGAGCACCAGGAAGACTGTGCAGATACCCCACCAGCTCAGCAGCACTGACTTCATGCAGCTGTACCTCTCTGGGTGTAACCTGTGTCATTTGGATTTATTTATTTATTTCCAAGATGTCCCACTCCTGATTCAGCTCAGATAACAGAGAGCTGACTATTTGATTTCACCTTCTAGCACCTGTACTTACCACAGTTTACCATAGGTGAACAGATACTTCTCAAGTGTGATGTCCATTTCCTACAGTTAAAAAAACTACCTAGCATATTTTATGGCCTTTGCATTGCTCCCAAGAAAGCAAAGTAATTTCAATATACTCAAGTAAAACGTTTTGATATGTGATTCTCTCTCTCGCTAATCAGTTGCCCTGTAATCCCTAAGTACCACACAGTGATTACAAGTTTAAAAAAAATGTTTTGATTCTTCCCCATCTGCACTTATTTGCAGCTACTTTCATTCAAGTGATAAGGAAGAATGTGATACAAGCGTTCCTTGTATTTGTACTACAACACGAATATTTTAGGAATGTTACTTAAATAATAATATCTGTTTATGCTAAAAATAGCTTTTTATTTTTCCTCTGGTGATCTCAGTCTAGACTGTGGCTCCGGTGTTCAAGCACAGGCCTGTGTAACTTATGCCTAGTGGCCAAATGCAGCTTGCAGCATGTTTTATCCCACCGTCACTGGAGAAACACAAACAGGTTGGTACATTTTAACTACCTGCTCTGCATAACAAGTTCCTAACAAGTAACCTGGTGGAGGCTCCTGAAGCCACAGTGACTTCAGCACCATTCACGCTGCAGTGAGCAGGCATAACTGCTGGCCGGGGGAAGGGAAACACTTGATAGGAGCTGGGAGAAGCTGAGAGCTCTGGTTGGAGGCCAGGTTGGGAGGGTGCATGGCAAAGGCAAGAACCATGGGGAGCACGAGGTAGGAGCTGCTTTAGGAAACTGAACATAAGGAAAGCTGGCATGCCCCCGTGCTTTTAACATGAAGTGAGGTAAGAGTTGTGTGAACAGAGTAGCATGGCCCATCTCAGACACCTGTAATGTCCTGGGAACAAAACCCAGGTATCTCCTAAATCTGCAACATAACGTTGGTAAATAAAAATACCAAATGATCCACCCATTCATTTGGATTCTGCAGGCTTGTTATTTGCAAACATGAGGTTTAGTTCAAATTATTTAAAGTAAGCTTATTTTTTTGGCTTTCTTATGTATTTCTCAAAGCCAAAACATTCCTGTGTATGAAGAATTTGCACACAGCCAGACAAGCACCAGCAAAGCAGGCTTTCTTACAGAAACACTGTATTACTCCCAACCCACGGTTTTTAAAAACGTACCAGGCTTTCAAACATTTTGCTACTCACTTAAACCCTTAAGTTTGTTTCCACAGAGACCTGCCGCTTCCCAAATACCCAGCGCCTACTCACTTGGTCACTTGGGTCTGAGCAAGACCCCAGCCAGGTCAGAGACACGACGGGTTCACAGAGGTACCCTCCACAGGCATAGGGATGGCCGGGCCGCACGCAGAGCGGAGCGGAGCAGGGCAGAGCTGGGATGGGCATTCAGCCGCGGCAGAGCGGAGCCCTCCAGAGCTCAGACACGCCAAAGCGGGAGGACCAGCCGCCGCGCCCGCACGCCGCTACCCGCCTCCGACCCGACCCGACCCGCCCCGATCCCGGGGTCCGGCCGTTACCTTGTACTGGCGGAAGCCATCCAGCTGCCGGCCGCTGACATACCGCCACCGCCACATCGCCCCGCTGTGCTCCGCGCCGCGCCGGGAGGGACGGGAGGCGGCGGGGCCGGGCCGGGGGCGGGTCCCCGGCCGCGCCCCTCGGGCTGGGGCCTGCCTCCGGTGCCGCCACCCGCGTCCAGGCACGGAGCGGTGCAGTACAGTACGAGGGCTGGGTGCCCGCTGGCGGTGGGAGATGCCCTGTGGCTCCCGGGGGACACGACACTTCCCCGCAGCCCTAGTACGTCCCTCCGGCCCTGGTGCCAGCCTGCCATTAGCCCCCTTTAATTGCCTCACGGTACTCGGTGCTGCGAACAGTCTGCAGCAGCGGCCGTGGTCACAGCGAGCCGCGACATGAGTAACGTAGCTGGTTAAAGGTGTATTAAAGATGCCATGTTTATATTATGTGCAAAGATGTGCCTGTGAGGACAGCACACAAAACACTGAATTATAGATTCATAGAATGCCAGGCTGGAAGGGACCACTAGGACAATCTGGTCCCACTTTTCCAGGTAAGGCATGACATAGACTAGATGTCCCAGCACGCTGTCCAGATGAATCTTACAAATATCCAGTGTTGGGGAATCCACCACTTCCCTGGGGAGATTATTCCAATGGCTGATTGTTCTCATTGTGACAAACATTCCTGTTGTGTCCAGTCAGAATCTCCCCAGGACTAACTTGTGCCCATCACCCCTGGTCTTTTTCCATGTGACTCCTTGTAAAAAGGGAGTCTCCATCTTCTTTGTAGCCACCCTTTGAATACTGAACACCGTGACAAGGTCTCCTTATCATATCCGTGTATCCTTACCTCTTAACGTCTCTCAGGGTTATTTATGTGTTTTAGAAACAGGTGACCCGGAGGATTTAAGATTTTATAGGCATTCCTTTCCAGGAATCATATACCTCTTGCATCTTTTTATTAAGACACCTGCACCAGAGCCCTTCACACCACATCAGTCTGCAGTACATTCTGTACCTTTTGATTTCTAGGGAAGCAGGGCACTGGTGCAGGCAAAAGACAGGGAAACATCAGGAATAATGTTTCAGCTGCAAATGCATTTAAGCATACAGCATAACACCTTGTGTTACTTTCATTGTATGCTATTAGAGGAAGGTTTGAAATCATAGATATCAGGGTCTGAGATCTTATTGACCAAATGGATTCTATCCAGAAAGGAAATCAATTAAAATCCATTACTCTCACCCCACAAGCTCTTCCAGGCACCTAATGCACTGTGCAGGTTTGATAGGAATCATATACAAGTTAAAATTGCTAAGTGCAAACTGCATAAAATTGTTCTTGCTCTTTATTATTAATCACTAGATGTGCTTACACTGACATTCTGCTTCCAGTAGCAGCATATCTAAACTTCTGCTCTTGAAAACAAACCAGAACTGTAACACTCAACTTCAGGTTACTGAGTTAAAGCTCTATTCTATTTCCTCATAGCAGCCTTCCAGTATCTGAAGGGGGCCTATAGGGATGCTGGGGAGGGACTCTTCATTAGAGACTGTAGTGATAGGACAAGGGGTAAAGGGTTAAAACTTAAACAGGGGAAGTTTAGATTGGATATAAGGAGGAAATTCTTTCCTGTTAGGGTGGTGAGGCACTGGAATGGGTTGCCCAGGGAGGTTGTGAATGCTCCATCCCTGGCAGTGTTCAAGACCAGGTTGGACAAGGCCTTGGGTGATATGATTTAGCGTAAGGTGTCCCTCCCCACGGCAGGGGGGTTGGAACTTGATGATCTTAAGGTCCCTTCCAACCCTAACTATTCTATGATTCTATGATTCTATTCCAGTTAGGATAATTAGAGGTTTGGAGCTTACATTTTTTAGGAGCCAAGTCTAATTTTAATTACTGTTCATATGCTAATTTTTATTTGGGATTTTTATTTGGGATGCCCTTCACCTCTCATTGTTATTTTCATCTTTTTAAGTTGTATTATGTTATTGAATTTATCTATAAGGGTATCTCAGAAGACTCATGACTACTACTGTACTCAGCACAACTAAGTAACTAAAGTTTACAGTTATCACTTTCACTTCTTAACTTCAACACTCATAAGCCTCAAACACGAAAGCAGAAATCTGTCTGAACAACTATTAGGACTGTCACAGACAGTAGTAGAAAAGGTGCTTGCTTTTCTGAACTGTAGAAGGTTCCAAAGTATTTTTTCTCTTTGCATGCCTCTAAATTCATGCTAAAAAGATGTAGATATAGAAGACATATAGATATAGAAGATATATAGATATAGCGGATATAGAACAGAAGTTTTATTTCCTATTCTTCACTCCAAACTGTCTTAGTGATAAACAGAAAACCCTCATAAATACTCCACTAAACTGAGAACATATATATACGTAACAATGAAATACATATTACATATAATATATATACCTAAAAATGAAATTTCATTAATTCATACCTCAGCATGTTCTGTGGCAGCTAATGAGCATGTCAAAGAAGGCAGCATTAGAAAAGCTATACTGAAGAGAGGGAAACAGACTGGTGACTGGGTATGGAACATCACAGAGCAAGCTATGACACAAGTAACATGACACCTGAGAATATTGTGGAAATTATACTGACACATGCCAGCCTTGGATTTAAGAAACGTCCTTGATTTAGGCATCACAGTTCATACGAATGGTTGGCCCTCAAGACCAAGGACGAAGGCCAGCCAATCCCAGGTGTGAGCAAAACCCACAGCCATGTGATTTACTGCTGCACCTGATGTTCTCACTGTTTCCATGTGTATCCATGTATATGTTTAGAGGTTATTCTATAGTTATATTTTTCAATCTGAGATGTTTTAAAGTTCTTTTCCAGACAATTGTTTGAGCTGCGATCCAAGCTATCTGCCCTACATGCAGGATTGTGTGAAGAGCAGTGAAAGTAGACTTAGTGCTGTAGCCCATTCTCTGATGTCTTCTGGAAAACAAATGAGTTGTAGTCTGAGCAAAGAGGAGCTCTAACTGGCACCAGCATGTGAACATTATAACCTTGAACAAGCTTCCATTTCAGGAGCTTGAGTGTGGACAGACAAAAGCCCAAATCAGAGTACAGTTAACTTTCACTATAGAAAAAGTTTAAGTTTTTTAACAACTGTGGCTGGGACATTTCTGACAGTTACACAGTAAATGACCCAAACATGCCTTTCTGCAGCTCAGGGGGGAATAATTCAAGGTCAGATTTGAATCCAGTGAAATCAGCTGGGGAATTCTTAGGTCTTCAGCACTGTTTATTACTTATGTGTTGTACTGAGGGGAAAGCAGTGATTTATTATTTTGAAAGAGCAGGCATATTGTAGCACTAGTACTTGCATGAAAAAGTTAAAAAGAATAGCTGTTCCACAGATACAAATGGTATTTAAATAAGAAAAGAGAAAAAAAAAAGGACACTAAACATCAAGACAAGTTGTATTCTTAATCCATCAAAATGGTAGGCAAAGAGATGAGAGCTCAGGATGGCTTAGAATAAATCCTTGGCTTTCAGGTTTCACTCTCTCTGCTACAAGTTATTTTAATACATTAATCATGATGGAACTGCTGCATAGGGAAGACTGCTTAGTATGACAACTTTGGCTTTTAATAATTTATGACAGTGTCTTGTTTATTCACCTACTTAAAGCTGCCTGCTATGCAGTAACCTTTATCTAGACTAGTGCACTGAATAGTACATTCCTGCCTCTATTTCAAGAAGTAAGAAAAATCAGAAAGAAATCATGCAGAGAGCAAACCCATAATGATCAGCTACCAAGGCAGCTGAAGAAGAGACTAATGTATTAGGAAAAACACGTAAAGAGGGAGCAGTGTGGGATACATCATCTGCCCCTAGAATGTGTAACTTGTAGGATTCAGGCAGTGCCTCCCTCCCTATCACTGCATGGGCTAGCATAAATCTGTTAATATTCAGGGCTTCTATGCTGTAAAAGAAGAAAGCTTTTCTAAGGTGGCTAGAATCATTTTAGAGGCTCATTTTAAGTCCCAGGCTCTCTGTAAGCTTATCTTGGTCTCTTAACCTGGTTTATAACTCAGGGCTATTTAACCTAGTAAAAGTACTTAATGCTAGAAAATGATCACATCTCTCCTCAAAAATTGCTGTATCAGTCCCAAAGCCAGCTGTCCATTCGCAATTTCAGTTTGCCCATGGGCAGCCTTGTCCATACTGCCTGTGAAAAACAAGTCCTGGCTAGTGCTAGCTCCTAAACAGGGGCACTGCTTCAGAATACACCAGCCTGAGCACCTGCTGACAACTCAGTAGCAAGGACAATCAAAAGAGAGTACTCAACTTAGCCTGTGCCCTGGTTCCCTCCAGTTTGCTAATGGGAAAGCCTGCTGAGCACTGGACTTCCCTGTCCACACCACTTATGTGTGTGCTTTGGACTCTGCTTTGGATCATGCCAGGTCCTTTCAGGCTGCTGTGGAGCAGCTAGAAATGTTCTGCATGGATGCACATGAATCCATGCCAATCAACACTTTTTTCCTCAGCAGTATATACACTCTAGGCTTAAGGGATGCTTAAGCTGAGCTTTTCAAAGAGGAAATATCCTCCTGACTGTAGACCGTCAGCAGACCCCGTCCACTTTTCAACATACTCTTGGGCATGGCATTACTTACAGTTTTTCAAGAACAGTCTTTGTAAAGTCTTTAACACAAAGGTACGCCATAGTCACGATAAAACCAATTATGCTCAAATAGTATTAATATTAGACCTAAGAGAGTTTCTGAAGTTACTAAAATATATGAAGTGCAGTGTTATCAGTGCCTCAGTAGTTTTAAAATCTCACTGAATTAAACTAACAGGAAGAACTTTGGTGGTAGTAAACTGCTCTAATGACTGAAGTTTAAAAAGCACCACTTTCTTCCAGCTCTGATTATGTGCCTGCATTTTTTTTTTCACCAGTTAGAGCCAAACCAGAATACTTTGATGATACATGTTCAGTTTCAGCTTGGAAAATCTTTATTTATGCTTAACCTCACTGAACTACAGAGACGTTTGGTAAATATGCTTCCCAAATGTGACTGTCTCTCAGGAAGTTATGTACTCATATTCC